TTGTAAAGCACAGAATACCAAAAAACTCATATACACATAATTATAATGTGCGAACTTTTAATAAAACTCAAAATATTGAGAGTAAGTAATATGTCGGAATATAGACATATAGATTTACAAACTAAAATAGAAAACAAGTTAAAATATCTTTAGCAAAAGAAACTTTCCTATAATTCATTCTTTCATTATTGATAGTATATAGTCGTATGAGAAAATTTGAGTGATCATGTATTAAAGAAGTTTACTTTTGCTTAGTAGTGGGCATGGCCAACTAATGGTCATCCTTGCATTTGAATGTGCACTATCGACGAATTAACAAACATTTTGCAAGTCGTGAAATACCTTAGTTATGAGTAATATAGTTTCCATTTTTCTTTTTTCATTTATATAAAATAAATTTGTATAATTTTAAATCTTGTTAAATTGTATATTTTGCTTGAAAGATGTTCACCAATTCCAATGTGCATTCGTTGTGAGAATAAAACTTGATTACTTGAACGATAGAACTACCCTAGAGAAAGTACTGAGTTCAGGGTACCCATGTACTGAGAAAGCCCTAGAAGGGTACCCAATATGGGTACTTCAAAAATTCTCAGTAATTATACTGATGTAGGTACTGCGTGTGGTTCCCATAAAAGTACGCTTACTGAACAAGTACTTGTATGGGTACTCGCATCTGTAATTTTACTGAGGAAAGCTATACAGAGTACCGTATATTTGTCGTGTTCTGTGTAGCGACTATTCATTCACCGTTTTCTTTTTCACACACGGCTCCATATAAACAACTGGGTAAGACATAAGAAATTAATCTATTTTCATACTAATTTTTTCTAGATTATTTCTTGACTATTTCTTAGTCGAGAACATGCCGATCTTGATCGTAGATTAAGAGCAGATCACTCTGAAGGGGTCTGATGGATACCTGACCAACTGAAGTCGAGTCAGATCTCGGTATTGTATCTGCTAAGTTTTCGGAATTGAAAAAATTAAATCGAATAAAATCGAAAAAAAAATGTAGTAAATTGCTTTGAGAGAAACAAAAATTAAAAAAAATTAAAAGTCAGGTTCGATCCTGAACATACTGAAATTTTTAAAACAGGGTACCTAGAAATACTATACAATAGTACCCAATTGAGTATCTGATCAGTACCTTCAAGTACCCAGTTACTACACATTTTGTAGCAGGGTAGTTGTCAAAGTACCACTTAGGCAGCTGAAAGTACTTCCAAGTACTTTGGTACCCAAAAGTTCCTGTGACATACTGGTAACAGGGTACTTTTTCGGGTACCCTTAACTCAGTACATTCTCTAGGGTACTCGTAAATTAGGGAAAAGATATATTTTTATCATGATAGTTAAAAAATTTCAGATTCTCAAACCTTCGAATTTGAAAGGTGAAATTTCGTAACGAAAAGTGTTTTTAGTTTTTTTATTCTATGCAATGATAGTTGTTAGTAAACAACGTGATATTATGATAGCTTGTAGTGTACATAAGATGATTATTTATATGTCACTTCGATTCTTAGTAAAATGCTCAACTGTCATATCACTCTCAAAAACGTCTAAATTTTTTTTGTTAATATTACAAAATCACTAATCATATCAAATCATTTTTCAATACTAAATAGGCATAAAAGCAAGACAAATCGAATTGATTTGAAAGTTCTTTTATTTCTCGTTTATGGAAATTTCAGAATTGATCTAATAATGTTTCGACTTCTTCTTTTAAACGATGATTATTCCTTTCTAATGTTTCTTATAATGATGGTTCAGCCTAGCTACACAAAAGTCGAGGATGTGAGTGTGGGTATAGAGAAGAGTCAATTTATCGTTCATATGCATATGTCTACCCACACCTACATTACCCTCTCTACACGCACACCCTCAACATGATTATTTAGCAATCCATTCCGAGTAATAAGGATACCGTAAAATATATTCATATTCTTTAATCATCTAAAAGAAAATTTCAATATCAAATAATCGGATTTATTTGGATGAAGTAGATTTCATACTTTGAAATTAACGAATTTACTTTACCAATTGTGGTTAGATCTTATGTTTTCAATCGAATGAATATTTTATTCACAAGAAACAGATAGAATACGAAGAGACTAATTTGATCTAAAAGAAATGTATATTACAATTATAAGAAATATTGATCTAAAACCTAATTCACCAATTAGTTAGATCAAGCGATTTTTTGTGTTTCAGGAAAGAGCTCTACAGAATCGATGATTATAAGATGATAAGTAAAAAATAAATGAAAATTTACATAGCTAAGGTTACTACAGAAGAGAAAATTATATTATAATTCTATGCTGTTTAATCATATTATATATTACGAAACAATATGTCATTGACACGGCTCGATGCATCCACAGCCAGCAGCGTGATGAATTGTCTAAAAGATCTATCTCGACAAGGACGTATGTATTATCGTTGAATTTTCACTACTGAAAAAAAAAGTATTAAATCCTAATGTTCTATTAAACTATAGGTACTATCATATTTTCTATTCATCAACCACGCTATGCCATCTTTAAAATATTTGATACAGTAATGTTTATGTGCAAAGGTCGATGTGTTTATCATGGTCCACCTAAAGATGTTGTTCCATACTTTGCTACACAAGGATATCAATGTGAACAATATGACAATCCAGCTGATTATGCATTAGATGTTTTAATTGATATTAGTCGAAAGCCAGATACATTGATAAAATTAAATAATATATACAATACTACAAATGCAAATGTATTGGCACTTCGTTATACACAAGAAAGTTTAACCAGTACTGAGAATATTGAGCAAGAACGACGAGAATATAAGGTAGAAGCAGCTCGTTCCATCAGAGCAGAAATATTTTATTTATCACAACGAATACTTCGAAATGCTGTACGTAATCCAGCATTGGCATTGTCACAAACTCTTGTTTCTATTGTTCTTGGTTTATTGGCCGGATTACTGTTTTACGATTTGAAGCGAACGGTTGAACCTGGTGTTCAAAATCGACTTGGTGCAATTTTTTTCATTATAATGAGCCAGACTTTTAGTAACGTAACAGCAATCGAACCACTGATCAGTGAAAGTGTACTTTTCATTCACGTAGGTCTCTTTTCGAATGTTATAATGATAGATTTTATGTTGTGTCTTGTAGGAACGTGTAAGTGGTTACTACAGAATCTTTACATTTTTCATTGCCAAATTAGTATGTGACTTATTACCTATGCGTGTGATACCAGCAACTCTATTTTCTGTTATCTCCTATTTTATGATTGGTTTCACTCGAACTGGTGGACAATTCTTTATTTTTCTATTAACAGTTTTCATGACCGGTCTGTTTGGATCAGCTTTATGCTTTTTCATGGCAGCTACTATACATGTTTTTGGTAAGATCACCGGTTTTCTATAGTTATGTTATAATTGTTGTTATTGAAAGACGATCTCTCAGTATTATATGGAAGATAAAAATCGCGATTAATTATGCTTTCATTTACAGATTGACAGAAAAAATTTTATTAAAACTAATGACTTCCTTGTCAATGTTGAAGTGTCTATTGTTTGAGTTCGACTTTTTCAGGAGATCAGAGAGATACACATTATGATAAACAAATGTGTACATTTTCCTATGTCTGTTTATTGTTGTAGCCGTGGCTTTAATTACTGTTATTCTCATTTTTGTTGTTATGATGATGTTTACTGGATTTCTTGTCAATTTATCAAGTGTCTTCTCTTGGCTCTCGTGGATTCAGTGGATTAGTGCATTTCGATATGCTTCGAATATGCTTACTATTAGCGATTTTCAAGGTCTCACATTCTGTTTGTCAAATGCAACTAATATCTGTCCATTGACAGGTGATGAGATACTTGATAAGCAAGAACTTGCTCATGCCAATTCATGGGATTTATGGAAGAACTTTTTTGCATTAACAATCATGGCTCTAATGTTTTTTTATTTCAGCATATATTCAACTTATCAGAATGAAGAAAACCAAATAACTTTGATGAACTTTATCGGTATTGTCATTGTCAATGATAAATGATTGGAGACTTCGTTTCTATTTTTTTTTGTTTATTGTATCAATTTTTATACTAAAATTTCCAATTCTCTTAATCTTTTTTATATCAGCATAAATATTTCAATTGAATTTAATAATATTTTTATGTATTGCGCAAAAACATCAGCATTTTTAGTAAAATAAAAAGCACGAACAACATCAGCATTGTACAGAGAATAGGGATGCCGGCTTAGCATTAGCATTGCATTAATTAATGCTAATTTTAATACTTTTGTATTAGAATTAAAAAATTAATTTAATGCTCTGGTATTAGGGTTAAAAAAATAATTTAATACTTTGGCATTAGCATTAAATTAAAATTAGTATTAAATTAGTATTACTTAATGCTGATGCCTAAGAAAAAAGTATTAACTAATGCTAATTTAATACTAATTTTAATTCAATGCTAATGCCAAAGTATTAAAGTATTAAATTATTTTTTCAACACTAATACCAGAGCATTAAGTTAATTTTTTAATTTTAATACAAAGTATTAGCATTTTCCTAATACTAATGCTAAGCCGGCACCCCTAACAGAGAAACTGGACCAATATGAAACATATGCGGAGATTGATTTCATTAGTTCTACAATAATCACTGAAACCAAATATTTATGTTTTAATGGCAAAAGTAGATCAGTTATGATATCTATACAGAAAATCAAGCATGAATAACTACAAATTAACTTAAAACAGGGCAAATTTTATTTTTTCGAGTCATGAAAATTCGACTCATAACATATATTTTTAGTTATCGTGGGTGTGGGTGGGAGTGGATGTGGGTGTGGGTGGGGTGTGGGCGTGAGTGTGGGTGTGGGGTG